TATTTACAAGTAATTTAAAAAAAAAATTCAAATCACTTTTTAGTTCATATTATTTTATTAAATAATAATAATTTAAAATTTTATGTTAAACTTATTAAAATTTACGTTTTTTACATAAATAAGAATAAATTAATTAATAACTAAATTTACATGTAAATTATTTTCTTGATTATTATACTCTTCATTATATGAAAAATAAAAATAAAAGTCATGTTATTTATTGATGATGTTTATTTAATTATTTTTATAAATACTTTCTCATCATTTTTTGTTTTTTTAATAATTATTTTATTGAAAATCCAAACTTGATAGGTATTTGTGTGAATAAAAAATTTAACAAACTATTTCATAAAGTATTGTGGATGATGCATGATTAAAAAAAATTCAGTTAATGTTGCAAAAGAAAGAAGAATTGACAGATATACAAGAACTTCAATGACAAACAAAAATTTTAATGTATAAAGTATTTTGATTATTTAAAAATATGTGATTTTAATAAGAATTTTTAATGCAGACATTTTGAATAAATTATCAACTATTATTTTAAATATCATATAAATAAAAATTTTATTATTAAAATTAATTTTCATAACCAAAATATTTTTTGTTGCAATGAAGACAAGTATTAACAAAATTGTAAACACATACATACATGATTTAGCATTTGCACCCAAATATTTTTAGTATTTATTTAACATTGTAAAATAAATAAATAATAACATGATAATAGATGGCATTGAAACAAGATTTTCTGTATTCCCCAGTTCATTATAAATTTGATTTCATTTTGGTAATAAGAGCTCAAGAAGTGAACAAAAGATATAACAACAAATGACAATGTTAGAGACAAAAGCACCTGATTCTTTAGCATAAATATTTCAACTCTAAGATTGATCTTCATAGCAATAACAAAAGTCAAAGAATGAAAGTAATGATTCGAGTAACAAATTTCATCATATGCTTAACACGTATCTTCAAAAGCTTTTTATTATAATCTGACTGTCAAGATGAACAATGATGGTCGAGTTCTCTCTGCTAGCCAACAGATCAACTCCGAACAATATTTTTGCAGTTTGACTTTGAAGCGCGGCAGCCAGATTTCTTAAGCATTGGTGATGCTTGCTACTTCTTGATTGGTATTAGAAGGTAGCTTGGTGCCCATGTACATATATTGAAATGTGTTGCAATGACAAGTTTGTTGAGAAATTTCAGTTCATGTCGCATCTGAATTCCTTGATAAAAAAATCAGGTCAGATTTTCTATTTTCAGAATATTGTCTGGTGCACGTATACTTGCAATGAAGCTCAGTGTTATAATATGATGAATGTTTTAATCTCGATGAATTTTTGTGCTCTAAAACTGATCATAGTGACAAAAATCAAATCATAAATGTGTGTATACAATTTAAAAAACACAACGGATAAAAAAAAAACTGAAAGTTTTGCCCGCAAGGCCTTCATTGACAAACTTATCTCCTATGATTCAAACTATTTTTTTTCTCAATGACTTACCTAGCGCAATAGTGTGTGAACAATATTGCCAACCTCATTTCAAAACAGCGTAAGAGTTTAGCTCAAATCAGATTGTTCCACTTATTAAACCCTACTAGCCAATGTCACAAAGTATCTTTAACCCATTGTTAAAAGCACGTGATATTTTGTATTTGAAAAAAGATGTTATTCATGGCATCAAACCCTCAACATACAAATGACTCAATGATGAGTAACAAAAAATGAATAATTTTTTTTAATTACCTAATAATTTTATAATAATTTCAATTGACTTTTAAATCAGACTTAAATCTAAAATTTACTAAATGACTATTATTTTAAAAATTTATGTAATTATTTTATTCATAATAATTTTTCAATTTTATAAAACATTTAAAAAAATTATATTATAAAAACATTCAATCTAATTTATTTTTTTATTTTAAAACTCTATTATATATAAAATTAAGTATATTAAAAAAGCAGAATTTATTAAAATTCAAAATTATTCAAGAATTAGTTAATAGAAATATAGAAAATAAAAAATTGTAACAAAAAATATGTTTTCAATTGACAGAGAATTAGATTTATAATAGAAAAATGTGAAAACCATATAGAAATTTAATTAAACAAGTTTATGAATTTGTGATTGTTTTTTTTAAAACACAACAAAATTAAATGTGAAGAAAATAATTCTATCTATTTCAAAATATAATTAATGAAAAATAAAATATGAACAATTTTCAAAAAACATGATAATCCTTATATCAAATTTTTTGATACATTTCATCTGTTTTAAGTTAACAATTTAATTTTGAATTTTTTTATAATAATAAAAGCTAGATTTAACTATTAAAATAAATGTGATTTTGGAAGAAATATATTTTAAATTTTAATTGTAAGTAAACCCATCATCACAACTCTCACATGTTTCATGTTTAAGATAAATTTAATGTTACATCAATTTAGTGTATCATGATATTTTTTTGCTGTCTATTCTTTTGGTTTCTATCTTATAATGAAAGTTGTTTACATCTAGATTGGAAAATTTTTAAAAATCAAATTTATTTATTACGTGTTAAAATGGAGTTAAACTTTTTTGATTTGAAAATTTAATGGTTTATTAATTTTTATAATATTTGGAGCATATTTTGGAATAATGTTGAAATATTTCATAAATATTACAAATTTCGTTTATAAGCTATGTTACATTTGAAAATTAAATATTTTATAGATTTACAAAAATTATATTTTTTTGGAATCTAAATTGAGAAATTAAAATGTTTGGTTTAACAATTACTTAATTAAAAAACTTTTTTATTTAAGTCAACAAAAACTGATAAGTATTCTCACAGAAATCTAATTCTAAATTGTTACAGCATGAAGCTTTTAGAGGTCACGTTCAAGATTTGTAACACAAACTAATTACTTTATAGTGTATACTTAGATTTATCAAAGTGGAAGTTAACTAGTATTTTATTCATAGTGGCTCTTTCATAATCTTTGGTAATGAATATATATGTTACTTATATAATACTTACATCTAGCCAAAATATCAAATTTTAGCATAAAAACATATATTATTCAGTAAATTTTCATGTATGGTAATTGAGGTTTTTTGAAATATGATAGAAGCGAGTTCTCCTAACCTCATGAAAGATAAGAGTACTAGAAGATATCACATGAAGATTGGCTAATGTCATTCATTTTCTAGAAAAATAGTGTAACTAAAAAAAAACTACTCTATTTTTTTTGTTGTCCTTAGTTTTGAGCAATTGAAAACTCTTCACAATTTTAAGATATGATTTACAATTTGCAACTACAAAATGACTTGTTATTGTAAAGATATATGATAGAACATTAATAATATTACAACATAATATAAACTATTATATGTCACATAGAGAAAAACATTTATTGTTTTGAGAAGAAAATGCCAATCAACTACTTATATCCTTTATTTATGTATGACTAGAACTTATCTCTATCTAATACTTTGCAGGTCACACATTAGTTTGACACATTGATATGCATCTCTATTATTCACTCCTATGAGAGTATTATTATCTTATGTACAAAGATTTATATTCAATTTGAGTGTTGCAAGTTTGAAGGGATTAGCTTGTCATGATGAGATTAGAGATGTGTTTTTTTCTATAACATGAAAACTTGCATAAATCACATGTATGATATGTTTGTGTGCCTTGGTACTTGACAAGAATAAAATCAAAGTTAAATTTGGTTTGGGATGTACTTTGTGTTGTTGTGAATAATGTGATTAGAGATAATCCACATAAAAGAAACACATTATCCATTGTATTTATAAGATGAAGATGGATTTCAAAATTCTTCTTTGAAATGGATCTAGATAAGAGGCCAAAAATTTACTTCAAATTTTGTACCAAGACCAAATTATGATCATCAGCACTTACTTATGCCATCCATGCTATTCAAATTCCGCCTATGTATTCAAAAATTGTGTAATGTGTATTACCCCCATACATCAAGTCTTGGTTGGATTTGACGAACAAAAAATAGTTCACTATTGCTGGGTTAAGCTCAAAGATTTTAGTTAGTGTACTTTATGCATACAAGAAATTTGATTGCAAGAAATTTGATTTTAGAGTTGGATGTGGGGATGCAGAAGATCATACAAGATCGAACGTTCCACTTGCGACATGATGGGTAATGTGAAGGCTACTTTCTACTTGCACCACAAGTTAATATTGAATTTAGCGAATATTGAAAAAATTTACTGCTGCAATGATATCATTTTTTTGAGGTATGTGACCTCATATTTCTCATACATGCTGAATTCAAATTCAATATGAGCTTTTGCCGACTACTAAATTTCAGCCCCGTTTCCATGAATCTTGTAACTGTTTACAAAAATAATATCACCCAAAATCCATGGGCATGGGTGGATTTGGACATGGATACCCAGTGTTAGGCTCTGATGTACATAGAGGTAAACTCATCGTTTATTTAACTCGGAGTTTTATGAAAGGATGAGTAAATATTTGACAACGTGTTATAAAAGGGGAAATGGACGTCATAATATTTGTCATATTGTGTGGACTATTATTATCATCCTGCATGTCACAAGAACCTTCGATACATATGAGAAAAATCAAAACAGCAGATGATTCTAAATCAGCCAGATTGAAGAACATAGCTGAAGATGTATTAGCCGGAGTACGGCATAATTCCAATTGTTATGGGATAGGTAGAGATGAGCCACATTTGAGCCGCTCGGTTTCCTTTTCATCCGGTGATATTCGAAGGGGGTTCGTGTTCCTTTTTGGCTAGATTATTGCAAAGACAGGTGAGAGAGAGAGAGAGGGCTGAAGCAAGGTCGAAGCGCGTGACCTGGCACGCCCTGGTCCAGGAGGGGGAGCGGGGCTGGCAGGGCTGGCAGGGCGCCCCGGGAACATGGGACGGGAGAGATGCAGGGGAAGGAGGGGGTTGGCCCTGGCAAGAAGGGGTGGGGCGCAAACGCTCATTCAGGTCGGGAAGGAGCAATCGTCTGCTCTTGGCCTCGCCTCCGGAGAAGTGACAAGTGACTGCCCGCGGCCACAGCTCTCGGCCCTCGAGAAGAAAGAGAGCGCCCGAGCAGAGCAGCAGAGAGACCGAGAGAGCATGCGCAGCGCTCAGGCACAGAGGGCCGCATCATGCTTTGAGGTGTCACGGAGAGAGCCCTGAGAGAAGAGAGATTCAGAGATCGAGAGAGCGAGCGAGAGGAGGAGCCTTCCCGAGGTTCGATCGAGTGGCGCTTCCTTCCGTTGCAGAGTGTGCCTCCTCTTCGGATTTTTTCGCAGATCTGGTGGTCGGAGGCGATTGGATCTGACGTCTTGAGCTATGTCGGGAGCAGGGCAGCGCCTGAATGTGGTGCCGACGGTGACGGTGCTGGGAGTCATCAAGACCCGGCTAATTGGAGCTACCAAGGGCCATCAATTGCTCAAGAAGAAAAGCGATGCGTTGACGATGCAATTTCGGCAAATTCTTAAGCGGATCGTGCAGACCAAGGAGTCAATGGGGGACATCATGAAAGCTTCGGCGTTTTCGTTGACGGAAGCCAAGTACGCTGCTGGGGACAACATCAAGTATATCGTGTTTGAGAATGTGGATGCAGCTTCCGTCAAAGTTAGGGCCAAGACTGAGAACGTTGCTGGAGTGAAGCTCCCCAAGTTTGAGCACTTCAGCGAGGCTGGGGAGACGAGAAACGATCTCACCGGTTTGGCCAGGGGTGGTCAACAGATTCAACTCTGCAAATCTGCTTTTGTCAAAGCAATTGAGGTACTGGTAGAGCTTGCCTCGTTGCAGACATCCTTCTTGACTCTAGATGAGGCCATCAAGACAACGAATCGTAGAGTTAATGCCTTGGAGAATGTTGTAAAGCCGAAATTGGAAAACACTATCAGCTACATCAAGGGTGAATTGGATGAACTGGAGAGGGAGGAGTTCTTCCGACTGAAGAAGGTCCAGGCCTACAAGAAGAAGGAGGTCGAGAAGCAGCTTATTAGGAATCAGCAATTTGAAGCTGCCAACGCTGCTGCTGCTGCTGCTGCCGCTGGAGACGATGGCGAAACTGGCTCCGCACCTGCAAGGCCTCATCATACTCCCCATCACCATCACCACAAACATTCATCTATTTTATCCCAACTGTCTCATGAGTTGTCAGAAAAGCTTACTAAGAGCCTCTTGCATGAGAATGCGGACCCTGACGTAATCTTTTGAGTGGTATTCTTCTCACCCTACATTATTATAGTGAGCACTTATCGCTGTTGATCGGAATTTTCTTAGCCCGTTGCGATTTGAGTTTTGTATCTACAGGAGACTGTACGATTATGCATTTCATAAAGAGGATAGCTCGAAGTACGTCCTAGTTCGACATTCTGAAGGATCTACCTGCTCAAGCTCCTCTATTTTTTGGGAACACTCAGGTTGCATCGTTGTTGTTTGCGAGATTCCAAGGCTCAGTCCTACAGTGACCCTCTAGCGGGTACGGTGTAGTTTTTTGCATTTTGCTTGTACATTGTTGTAGATAACGCAGTCATCGAGTAGTGGCCCCCAAGACCAATGTGTGGGTCCTGAGTAGCCATGCACTGTGTCATGAAGGTAGAGAATGTATTTCCTTTGTCTTGTGTGTAGTTTCAATAAAGGTACCAAGCTATTGGCCCTGTTTTTTGAACGCAGCTCTCGTCATGTGGGAAAACGCTGATTTCAGCCGCCTTTTCTCTGTGGGCTGTGGCCGCAGTAGTGTACCAGTTGGATTGCAGTGGTGATATTGAGGCGGAATACATGAATATAGAAGTTGAGTCAAAACAAATCTTACTTTGTCAGAACTTTCCCGGATCCAGCAGTCTCCATTTCCCGTATCATGTTAGTATTTGCGGCTTTGACTAGATTGACGGTACAGGACCAAATAGTTCATGATCTCATCTGCTTTAGATGTCCTCATAAAAGCTTCGTTACTCTGAGGAGTTAAAGATCTTCAACAGTTAAAGTGCTCTTGAGTATCGAAGTTTCTCGTATTGTACAATGTATAACAGTTGGGTTGGCCGAGCCATATATTTTTATCCCCGATTTAACCGCCTCTCCCAACCATTGCCTGTCACTGTTGACTCTCAAGATTTATCCCGGCAATTTGTAAAGAACAGGTTCACCAGTTGAACCACTTTACCCTAGATCCAGGATCTTAATTCATTGTGCGGCTGCTGTCTCAAAAATCACCATTGGGTTTTACTGCAATATGCTTGGCATTTTTATATGCTGATCACAGTATTTAGTTTGCAATCTGAGTTCCTTATTTTTTGGTGACATAAGCGTGAGCGGTGGTGGACATGTCTTATACCTAATCTTACAACTCTATGGTTCCCTTGTAGGGTGTTACCCGCTCATCCTTTTTTTTAAAAAAATATCCTGTTTTTCGTTGTTTGAAATATTCCAATGATTCTGTTCATGCAACACACGTTAACTCCCCTTGCTCTCTGTAGATACGAAGTATCGAGCTTCTCAGTTTTGTGTCTTAAAACACAAAACTGAGAGCAAGGGGAGTTAACGCGTGTTGCATGAACAGAATCAGCTTGAATTTTCGGTACAGTGTTCAATTTACCTGTTAATGTGTCCCCGAGCACTAGTTCATTCTGTCATATTCAGGAAATATGAAACTTGTTGATTGATTAGGCTCTGATAGTTTCACGCCATGATGTCGTATCTGTTGAGGTCTAGAGGAGTTGCGTGTGATAAAGAAAGGAACACCACAGGGTGTGCAAGTAGCGATGTCGTTCCACATTTTGCTCTTCTTGTGTTCTTGTGGTGAAAGAGGAATCCGGTCCTGTACTTGAATTTCAGATCTGTGCCGAGGTATTTAATTAGGAATGAGACCTATTTAAATACCTGGCTCAAAGAAAACGGGTTTTAGGCTATATCGTGGACAGAGGTGAAGCTCAGACGTTCGTGAGTTAGGGGAGGTTTATATTACAGTGAGTTTCTAGTCTTCAGCAATAAACTTTCCTAATATGTTTTTCTTTTAAGGTAAGTCCTTCCCTTTCTCCTGACAAAAGCGGACGCTCGTTACCGAATTTTCGTTTACGAGGGCTTATTAAGCCTTCCGATAGAAATTTCGACAAGGCTGTATAAGTTGAACTATTCTCTATAATTCTACGTTTTCAATTTCTTTGTAAATATTCAAATGGCGAAACTTCTATTTTTTATTGAACTGGTGGATGAGATAAGTGGAGATTCATAGTTGTTACTCGGAAGATGCGAATGAGAGACTAACGAAAGCCCTCTCTACTTTCAAATAGCCTTATCTCATCTGCCTCACTTCTTCATTTTTGCCAGTCACTACTGTTACTGCCCAGCCACAGCGACGTATATTGTCTTCGAATACGAAAGGCAGATATAAATCAGAATTCTCTTAGTTTTCTTTTTAGTTCCCCATTTGTCTCTATCTCCCAGCTTTCGGCAGCTGTTCCTTCTGTTGCTAGCTCTTGGAAACTCGTCCTGTCCTTTCCCTTTGTCTGATATGCGCTGAGTACTCACATTCCGAAGTAGCTCGGAAATAACTTCTTTAGCCCCGCCGTAATGTTTAATATCTTGGACTTGTTCTCTTCGTCAACTGGTTGTCTGCATCTGTATGCTTTGAAAATCACAAATTTTGCACCATATTTTGCTGTGAAACTCCTGTGCCGCGCACTTTTGATACTGCACGAAGGCAATTTCTAGGATTGGTGGATACCCAAATCATTCGCGTGTGACAAATTACGTATTAACTTATCACCTGAGGAATTGGACAGCGTAGTTCAACCATAAGGGTGGAGGTAAAGCTACCCAGCTTTTGTGAAGATTCATAGTTGTTTCTGTTGATATATAGACAAACGGGTACAGCACTTTTTTCGCAGTTCACATAGCGGCATTGTCGGTTTAATGTGCATTACTGTTCCATCTATGCGACTGATCTCGCCGAGAAAATTACTTGATGGGACCTGCAAAACAGAAATAGTTGAAGGGGCCATCATGTAACATTCTCACAGGTGGAAAAAACCCAATTCATCGAAAAGGATTTCGGGTTAATCCAAAAACCTGACTTCAACAACGGTTTTAATCAATAGTATGAGAGTAGTAACAAATAGCTTATTCCTCTAGGAATTCAATATCTCACAAGATCCATATGCGGAATCAAAATCGGACTCTTTGTCAACATAGAATAATTTTGGTATAGTGAAACTTTATAAGTACGTTTAATACTGCGTCTATAGGTGAACATCTAGAAGGGCAACCGTGATGTTCTGCAACAACAAACTATATATACTGAATGCTCATGTATTTTTTTTTCATCCTAAAGTGGTATTGAATCGAGGGTTAGATTTAAAAAAACATCTTCGATCTGAAATCGATGTGTGTGATTGATCATTTCACCTAGATACCCCGGATCCACTAGATAAGCAAAGATTGTGTGCTCGTTGTACATGAATTAGAAAAATTATGAGTCCAACAAATTCACATAATGTAAATTTTGGGATGAAATTTATCTCCAGGGATTGTTGAAAATTAAAAAAAATTCCAACAAAGTCATAGTATCTATAGGCTCAAGAATATCTAAACACTTTTTCAATTTGAATAAAAATGTGTTATCGATTATTTTCTCTTTGATTCTAATGGTAAAACATGTTGTTGTATATGTGAAGTATTATTAGATATTTCTAGTAATTTAATATGGTTAGGTTAGATATAGCTAAATTCAGCTAATTATGATTAAATTTAAATTTCAAGATAAAATATTTTTTAGTACATGATTAATTGTGATTGGTTTAACTAAATAAAATAAATTTTATTTATTAGTTAAGTTTAGAATTGATTTAATGACAAGTGAAAATTATATAATTTCAAAATTCTCACATGTCATGTAATCATTTCAACTTGAGTAAATAAAACCTCTAGAAAGTTTACGTATGTCAATAACGTGTTGCTATGTATCAAAAATTAGTCTTTGTGAAAATAAATTAGATGATAATTATCGATTGTTACTAGTATAATTTCTCAAGTAGTATAAATAGAGAAATAAAGAAGAAATTATCAAGCAAGTTTTGAAAATTCATTGAGTTAGAACTTGTTTCATCAATATAGACTTGAGTTGCACTATGTCTTTTGGTGTATTGATGAGTGTTTGGTGGAAAGATTCTATGAGAAGTTGTTTGGAACAAGTACAAGTTAAGAAATCTTCAATTTTTAGAATCATGATGAATTTTCACAAAACCATCTAAGATAACCGTGAGTGAGAGTCAGCCTTGATCAATTTTCTATGCTGCACTATTAGCATCATCAACAAAGTCATGCTCAAAAACAATAAAAGACATTAATTTTTATGATTTCGTAATTTGAGTTGAAGCAATGTTGGAATGAAACCCATGAAGTTAGCGTGAGCTTCATCAAAGAAGTCAACTTCTCTTGATTCTACATGATTTTCAATTTTATTTTCATTGCACGATGATTATCAAAGAATTTAATAATATCTTTATAAATTTTGGAAAAGAATCAGAAAATTTCAAATAGGTAGACAAAGAAATAAATTATGACGGAATTTCCTCATTTACTTGTTTTTGTTGCACAAAAATGTACTTCATCATAAGATGTAGAACATGAGAAGTACATCCTTGAAAGAATTTGTCAGGAATTTTAATCTTCAAACTTCACGTCTTCTTATTTGCAGAGGTATTATTGGTGACGGCAAACAACAAATATCGTGTTTGATTTTTTTCTGATGGTAAGGCTAATTTCGTGAACAATCCATTCAACTATGTGTACTTGTTCGCAAATGCATACAAACTTCATAAACAAGCTTGCTGGACATGCTGCTATATAATTTAGTATAGATTCATTGCACATTACAGACCAACTGTAAGTGACAAACAAATTGATGATAACAAAGCCGATAACTTGGCAACGCATCTCTACTTAATCTCATCATAACACAAATTTAACAAATTATCGTTTAACTTCTTGCAATTAGGTAGGAGTTCTTTATTGTATCGCAACATTTTGATTGATTCAATCAAGTTTATATCTTTCACACAATGCATTGATGTACTTATGTAATATTAGTATCAAATGATGACTTTCTGAAACTTCTTCTTGATTGAAGTGTTCATCATAGATAAGGAAAATGATCGTGTAAACGACTGGCTACTCAATTTTTATCTCGTGGATTTTGATAAAAGTGATGAAACAATGACTCTCTTTGATACTCTATACAATCCAAATGAGAAGTTAAAGTTTATGTCAGTCATTAACTTCTTGAATGAAGCGCAACATTCTAGCTTTTTTTGTGATAATTCATTTGTAGTTGACAATGTCTACATATTGCTGACTTTTTGATGGCAGGCGATTTTTCAAGCATGAATGCTTCAGACACATCTCTGGCTATTTGTTCTCGATTCTTGCCTGCAAGTTGATTTTTGTCATTTGGTAGATTGACAAAGTATACAAATTTGATAACTTTCATTTCTACACTCGAAATCACTTAATAAAATATCCCGCTTGTTATTAAATTAAAAACTGTAACAGCCAACATTGGAGTTCTTTAAACCTGATTTAAAATTTAAAACTTAAGAATAAAACTCAATTTTATGAGAATAAATAATTACAGATATGAAAATTGATCATTGACGGATCTAGAATTAGTCAATTTGCTGTAACGTAAACCTAAGGTATCAAGAGACGGATTCTAGATCTTTCATCTTGTAATATTGTTGTAGTTGCGTCTTAATATTTGTAATAAGTTCAAGATAGTTTCTAGTAGTATTTGTTCATCAACATAGAAAAGTAGCACAATGATGTAATTTATTTTTTTTAAATAGCGATTGAAATCAAGATTGCGTGAATTTCCTTGTACAATTGTCTTGAAGACAGTTTGTACATAGGAAGATCTAATCCCCACCATCCATCCACTAGGAGTGGGATGGATGGTGGGGATTAGATCTTATCACTTTGTACTTGTTGGTGAGAGCTATATAAGGGAGAGGAGAACCATTGTTGGTATCTCTCATCTTCAGAGTTTACGTTTCTATCTTCGAGTGAACTTCTCTCTAAATCCTAGTGTTACAATAATTTTTTATAATAATAATTTTTTAAGTAGAATAAGTAGAGAGGTAGAATATAACATCTCAAGCAAATTTGAACACTGCATTGTGTGAATATTTGTTTCATCAATATAAATTTAAATTATTCTATGTCTTTGGAGTATTGATGAACGTTTGCAATTGAGTGATGAGTGGAGAATTTGTGTGAGAAAGTGTTTGGATTATGAGCAAGTTAGTAATATTTAACTTTTAGAACCATGATGAACTTATACAAAACCATCTAAGTTAA